ATACACAAGATATTTTGTACTGTTTAACTTTCTTTTAGTACACTCTAAAAATGCTGGGTTGTTTTAACCCAACTTTGGGTCAAATATGGACAAACCCAAACGTTGGTTTAAAAATGTAATTAAAAAATGTAACCCAATGGCTGGGTTTGTCCATATTTGACCCAAAGTTGGGTTAAAACAACCCAGCAATTTTTAGAGTGCTGCAAACTTTGTGGTTATAAGTATACATAACACTATATTGAAGAGGACAGGGTTTTACTTGCCAAGTAATTTGTTGTTCAAACCACTGAAAATAAAGCCACGAATCTGCTCTTTTTCTGCTATTAACACCCCAGGCCTATGAGGCCAATAGTGGGTGAACAGGAGATTGATGGTGTGATCCGGGTATTCAAAAGAATGCACTCCTTCAGGGATCCAGATAAAGCCACACACATTCCTCTCTAGGCAAAGACGACACATGTGACCTAAACCCAACTATTTGTTTGATGTTCAGCCTGTGTACAGCATGATTACCTGACTTTCAATCTTAAGACGCCTATTTTGTTGCCACAACATATACAAAACTCTTCCCACACCTCATTTTCTCTTTTTGTTGCTCAAACTCAAAAGAAAGTCCAACCCAGCTATAGAGAAGGTATGTCACACGGAGATGTGCGGAGAGGGATCTAACTGCATTGTCTGGGAACCTGCAGTGAGAAAACAAACTCCTGGAGGAAACCCAAGGGAGTGGTTCAGAGGCGGAGGACACACTGTGGCCTCCTACTTTGGGAGGAAACAGGCTTCATTTCCTCCTCTTTATCCCATGGACAATGGACTGCTTACGTGTTGGACCAGCAGGGAAAATAGGCTGGGCAAGAAAACAAAAGGGACAACTCAATCAATGGAGACTGTCCTTGCCTGGGAGAGATGCTTTAATTATGTATTACATGGATGGCAGGACAATTTTGAAGTTGAGGGAAAGTAAAACTTGTCCTAGAAGAGGATAAGTTGAGCCTAGGGGGAGGAATTGAGTGATGCTGCCACATACCCTCCAAGTGAATGGAAAAAAAGTGCCTATGGAACAGAGGGAGCCATTTGAATAAACAGAGAGGGAACACTGTGAGTCACTCTGCCTGAAGCCAAGGGGAGATGAGGGAAGGAGCCAAAATCCAAGCTCACAAATCTCCCAATCCAAAGGACACAATGGAGGACTTGTTGTAATCCTCGATTTTGTGAGTTAACGGGAAAAGCAAAGTCATGGTCAGTGTTTCCCATTAAAGTCCGAATCGCATTATAAAAATTTGAGGGTTAAAACATGAGTAGGTTCCCTTCCGAGGCAACTTTTGCAACATCTCCCTTGGAATTATTCAAGGCGTTTACCTTCACATGGATGACAAAATTCAAGCCTGAGATTCAAACTAGTAATTGCAAAGCTCTCTGGGGCTTTTAGCAAAGCACAATTACTGGTGTAGTGTAGAATAGACAAATGCTTCCTGGAAAAATCTTTTCCCAATGAACCTTTTAAGCTGACCCTGGCCACTGCCCAGAGCATGGAAATCAAATAATTGAATCATCTCACAGTCTGATTGGCTGATCAAATCTGTTGTTAGGTCCTAATGCAGATCTGAGGTAAGGGCAGTCATGAATTGGATGGCCTGATCTTGTCCCATTGGTGCAGAAATGGGTTCTGTACTGGACTACTGGACTGGGACATTAAGTGCGTCTTTATCTTTATTGAGCCCAACCCAAGTAATGGACAACGTTTTGACATAATGCAACATCTTTGTTTATACTTCCAACCTTCCATGAGTTCACATATCAGTGAATTAGCAATGTTTGGGGATCAGTGTGGGATATTTCTGTGATAAGAATTGCCGTACGTTACCACAGCATGTTCTGCATACATTGCATTTTTCTGTGGTCACTGTGTGTTACGTAAGACATATTTTTGGCATGCACGGTGTGATAGACTGAGGGGAAAAAAGTGGTTTACAGTAAAGGGAAACCCTTCTCTCTGTATTTAAATGTAAAACAAAATACAACGAGGAATCTTTGAAGTCTGGATTTACTGAAAATCATTTCAGCAGACCCCAAGGTAAACCACAAAATTTCCATTGAACTTTCAAATATGAACTGCTCTAGAAATTTTACATAAACAAAGGAGAACATAATACACAAATTGGAGGACAAACAAACTTCTTCAAAACTTTTTAACTTCCGTTTGAGCAATGCAAAGGCGATACAGTGCATACAGTACTGGGTGGTGCTTACCTTCTGATCCACAATTGAGCAAGCAATTTGTTTGATGTAGGCCAGGTCTGCAGTCTGAGGTAGAAGCACAGACTCTCTAGTCAGCCCAATCTGAATGATGAAGGAGACACCAGCTGGCGCCGGAGGCCCAGACGGCATTCCAGATGCCCCGCCGGGACCTGGGGCAACCACCATGTCCACCGTAGGGAACCCTGGGGTTTGGGATGTATGGACAGAGACCGGTGTCCCCTGATGCATCACCACTGACCCAGGTGGAGATGGCCCACCCGGAGGGAAAAAGACCTGGGACATGGGTCCCGGAGACATGAAGGGACTGACATTGGCCATGCTGAGGAGTCAAAGACAGTCAAGAGAGAGATAAGACTGGGTAGTGTGAGGCAGCAAACTCACCTACACACACCAGCAGTCACTCACTCATCAATAGTGTCCGTCCCTGCTGTGTGTCCCGTGTCTCCTAGAGCTTGAAAACAACAGATAACTTTCCAGGAAGTAGCTTTTCTTTCTTCTTGTCCTCTCTTTCACGGTAAGCTCCTCTACACGGCTTTCATTCCAGAGAAGGAGCAGGTGAGCAATGCAGATAAAGTTTAGCTTTCAAAGTAAGTATCCCCTCCTCCTCCTTCTCCTCACGCTTCCTGTTCTTTCGAGACTCCAAAGAGACTTTGAAGAGGGACACGTCCAAACTTCAAGGAAACATAAAAGAAACTAACAAATGAGAAAGCAAAATGAAAGCCTGTAGCAGTAAGTCCGTCTGCTCAAGATGGCCTCAAAGTACAGCAAATGAGCTGGAGAGAGCTCCTGGTTAGGCTTGCTTTGCAAGTCAGGCTGTGTTTCAGTTTCTTGTCGCGTCTGCTGTGCCTCAGTGAGAAAACGACCGAGGACACTCCCTCCTCCCCCTGCCTCCACTCCCCTACTGTCTGAAACTCACAGAGCCCAGGAGGAAGTGAGCTGACTGACAGATCTTTTGGCCAATCAGCAGGAAAGAGCTGTGAATGAGATCATACGTATCAACTTCTGTCTCCTCCCAGTCCCACATACACCTTCTTCCCTCCCTCTCAACTTTTACGTCTCTCTCTTTGTGTAACACTTTGGCTTGTTTACTCCCCCACCCTGGAACAACTTTGTCCTCTTCTTTTTGTCTGGGGCCTCACACTAAATTGCACTCTTTTCTCAGTCACTCATTCTCTTTCTCCAGTCCCACACCAAATATCTGATCTGTGTAGCACAAACACACCTAAACAATCCGCCCACGTGTAACCCTGCGGCCGGACTAACTCTACAAAAGGTGGGAGTTTGGCATTTTTTCCCCTTGAATGGATGTGTGTCAGTTCACAGTTAAGAAACAACATTGCATCCATCACAAATCACTGAGAGCTCAAATCAAATTAAACAAAAAATTAAGTGTTTGCTAGCTTTAACGATAACAATTGTGAAAACATTATATTTTAACTTCCTAGAAAAAAGGAAAAATTCTTATTTTTTACTGGTTAAATCTCTCGATCTACCTCTATCCATCTACTCTATTGATCTATCTATCTATTATCTACTCTGATTTCAATCTATCAACTCTAATATCGATCTATCTATCTATTCTAATATCTATATACTCTAACATCTATCTATGTAATATATATCTATGTACTCTAATATCTATCGATCTATCTATTTACTCTAATATCTATCTATCTACTCTAATATCTATCTATTCTTAATCTATGTACTCTAATATCTATCTACTCTAATTCTATCCATCTTCTCTAATATCTATCTTAATATCTATCTATCTACTCTAATGTCTATCTACTCTAATTCTATCCATCTAATCTAATCCTAATCCATCTACTCTAATATCTATCTACTCCAATATATCTATACTCTAATATCTATCTATCTGAAAAGCATTTCTCAAATAGAAAGATTTTGAAACACTATAAATGTCTTTAGTTACCTTTGATCAATTTGATGCCTCCTTGATAAATAAAAGTATGAATTTATTTCTGCAGAAAAACAAACAAACTAAAATCTACTGACCTCAAACTTTTGAACAGTAGTGTATAATGTCATAAAAGCTTTCTAATTCAGATAAAGGCTGTTCCTTTGAACTTTATATTCATCATAGAATCCTGAAATAAAAATAATGACAATAAATGTTTCCTGAGCAGAAAATCAGCATATTAGAATGATTTCTGGAGGTGATGCTAAAAATTCAGTTTTGCGTCACAGGAATACACACCTATTAAATACCTGTACTGTACTAATACTGTACACCAGAGCCCAAATATGCTGATCAATCCAAAATCTTTTTATCAGTATTAATTAAACTTTGCATACCCAAAGACACTTTCTCAGACAATAGAGTTCAGACCAGACAAGAATGAAATCTCTGTACAAAACCATGTTTTTATTTAGTTGTTTTTGGATTTTTTTTTAATGACATACAACACAAGACCTGCAAAGTAAACAAAACAAAGAAAGAAAAAAAGAATAAAAGAAAAGTCAACAGAAAAAATAAAAACGATGTAATTTGATACGAGCTAAAAAGCAGTTCAAAAATATGCATAATAAAACAAAAATAAATAAAAGGCTGGTCTTTTTTTTATCCCTTGTAGTTATAGGATATAGTTTGAATACAGCTTAATATGATGTACAAAATATCACACAGTGATAAATTGCTATTAAAAAATAAAAACGCATAACAAAAAAAAGTCCTTTTTACCTTGGCTGTGGACTGAAACTTTTTTTTTTCTCATAAATTTTTCATACAATTTTCAGTTTTTAGGCTTTTACACAATCACAAGCAATTCTTAAGCCTAGCAAAAAAGGTACTACTGTCGTCTTACACCTTATTACTAGTAATCATAGTGATAATATGTCTAGTAAAGAAAAGCATACATGTGAGAAATTGGGAAACTTACATTATGCATCGGCAGCTTGTCAAGCATACTTGTTTCTTTCCATTTTTTTTTTTTTACACAAATTCATTCTCTCAGAAAGGAATGTGTTTTGTCATCATAATTTCAAGACTCGTATTGCAACGAAGGGTGCGGAAAAAGGTGTACAAAAGAGACAGCAGGACTCGTCTAAACACCCATGCAACCGGCAGTCTCTGGAAGAGGACTCAACGATGCAGCAATACGCAGATGAACCGAACTGTTTGTGTTATTCTACACGTGTAGTGTAGCATAAAGCTAACCGTTAGTGTGCGGCGCGAAGTTTCTAGGAAAAGAGGAAAGCAGCAAAGGATTATGAGATTCCACTGAACGAAGTCTGTGGTCATGTGACATTCATTGACTGGGAGAACATCCCAAAATGAAACGGTGGTCTCATCGTTATACAAAGGACATAACCTTGTCCATTAATAAAATCACTCCAAAAGGTTTCCACACTTGCTAACTTGCAAATCCACACCGCATTCCTTGCCAAAGATCGCATGGTTTTAGATGGACGTGGTCTGGTTAAGGACTGACATGGCTCCATTATGCTAAAGCGCTCTTTATGGCCCTCCGACTTGCCTTCTGGCCACTCATCTACGACCACGGAAAACCAGTAAAGGATAAAAATAAACCCTGCAAAGCGGAAACTGGCTAAAACATGATCTGACCTTTGATCACCAGGCTCCCTCCAACTAAGGAACCCGATTTCTTCATCTCACCTTGCATTTTGGTTCCTTGCTTAGCCAACAAAAAGCAAGCACTTTTATTTCCATTAAAAGAGCCATGAGAGCTATTTTACCCAGAAACACCCCCTTATCTTGGGGTACAAGACCCGTCAAGTCGACTTTTTTAATAAAGTTTCACCACTGGACTTCATCATCTTGGTAAATCAAGCGTACACTGGGGGCACTCGTTTTCACATTGTCACTTAAAACGCCCATTCGAGCTTCACTTTTTTCAAAAAAAGAACTTGGGTTGAGATCACAGATGTCGAGAAACTCAAGAAACGACAATACAGCTGCACTTAAACAGTGGAACTTGTAGTTTGTTACATTTTTTTTTTATTATTGGAGAATCATCAACCGAAGATCCTCAAGTGTGGATATAGAGTTCATCGTCTTAAAAATACCCTGACAAAACCTTAAAAGCCACTTCGGCAAACCGGATGTATTCTGGCCGCGTTTCTGAAATGCCAAAGAACTGTACATGATGACTCAGAGGAATAGCAGGGGTCAATCGAGATTTGATACTTTACGACCCTCGTCGTGAACAAATCCCTGATTCAGAGATCTTAGCACCAAGGTTGTGAAACAAGAGTGCTATATACAGCACATCTTGCTTATGTACAGAAATGAGTCAATCATCCAACTGCAGATCTTCCCCCCCAAAAGTCTTCTGACCGATATCGAACACTACAATAAATACACTACTCAACAGTCACTTGACTATTACGCATAATTCCACCTGACTGGATATGAATGGAGACGGTGATTGCGAAAGGCTTGTGCTGACACCGTCACACACGCAGATACACACGTGTTTGGTTTTACTTCAAGGTGTACTCGTCATAGGAATGAAATGTGTGGAGGAAGTGATTGTGAAAGGCTGAAATACTAAGGCTCTTAGCTGTGAGGCTAAAGGTAAAGCTGTGTTGTACTTCGCAGCTGAACCGAAAAAAAAAAAAAAAACTCATCTAAAGCAGTCTTTGGAATGAAATGCGTCGATCACCTCACGTTACTAGGCGAGGACATTAATTCACAGATTAGCACTAGATTTACATTGAGAAGATGCGCAGGCTTGAGTAATGTCTTGTTTAGCGAGAGCCATCGAATCCTCAACCTCAACCGAGCATGATTTTAAAATCCAGGGTGTGTTGTGTGTTAAGTTGTGCGTTTGGTCCATCCGTCAACAGATTGGACGTTCTTCGCAACACACTGTGCAGATTGTTAGTAGTGTCATCTCAAACTAAAATCAGGACTGGAGCAGCAAACTCATTAGTATTGAAAGCGGTAGAGTTTGTGTGAGGCATAAAAGAATGATGGGTCGTGTGCCTTTTACACAGGCAGAGATGTGTAGAACATTGTTCCCCACGGTTTGAGTGAGTGTGTGAGTGCGTGTGTGCGGATATTCGGCGTTTCACTCTTTTGGCCCAGTAGTGAGGGTGGTTCCCCTGAAAAGAGATAAAGCAAACATGAGCTCATGGAACACAAGTAACAAAGTGCTACAAATGATTTTAGCCATTTTGATAAGTTAACGACAAACATAAAAAACGGAATTAGGAAATGTACTTATTTTTCTCAGACACTGTGGCTAATGCTTTTCCGAAGTTACTAGACACTCAGCATTTTCACTGGCCACAATTTTAACATTGATACTATGGGGAATATATAATATATATATATATATATATATATATTTTTTTTTTTTTTCAATTGTAGTCTTTTCAAATATAGATTTTGAGATACATACAGGATTCCCACACCTTGGTTAACTTCAAATTCAAGGACCTTTCAAAGACTTTCCAGTTCCAATACCCTTAAATTCATTGAATTAAAGTGGGGACACATTTGAAGTGAGAGTAAGGTTACATCGTGTTACCTTGTAGGATACATTGTTAGTCTTGCGTGAGTGAACGTCATGGTAACGTACAAAAAGAACACTTAACGTAAAGCATAAATGCACGTACTAACAAACATAAATCAAGCAAGCTACTATGCATAAGCTATGAAGTGTTGGCAAAATAACACATTAATGGAGCGGAGGGCATAATATGGATTTTTTTTCCCGAAAATTTCTTGCACAAAATAAATTCAAGCACTTTCAAGGACCTGTATCTATGTATGTTTATTTTCAAAAACTTTCCAGGGCCTTGAAAAAAAAAAAAAATCAGATTTATAAACTTTCAAGGATTTCAAGGACCCGTGGGAACCCTGTACATACTGAAATATCTGAAACGCTACCCATACTCATTTCCCGCAGAACAGACACAATACCAGCTACGCTCTCTCATCTCTCCAACATCAAGTAGACACACAACCCCGGCTCACTCACTCCCTCGTTTCATTTGCTCCAGATTAATATTGTTGATGTTCTGGTTCATTTACATCCTTTTACAAGACCTGGGATCGCTTTTTAAGACAAGGGATCCCTTTTTAAATTACATTAAGGGTTTACCCTGTGCACCTGTAACTGGCGTTGGTGCATAATTTTCACTTATCAGAAGGATCTTTGTAGGGAGAATGTAATTTTTATATTACACATGTAATATTTTTCAATTCATATTATTTTAATTACATTTTTTATTATAATATTTTTGTTATATTTTTATTTTACTTATTTCTTTTTATTCTATTTATTTATTTATTTATTTATTTATTTATTTATTTTTTTGCTATTGGAAGCTATTTTGCTATTTGCTACAAAGCCACCTCTCAGTACTAAATTGAGTTATTTTTCGCTGCTTATTGCACTTTAACAGTCAAATACACACAAAATAATGACAAAATGCCAGTCTTGGTGACCGTAGACTCAGTTATGTTTTAGGTAAATGTCAACAGTTGAGAAAATAAAATCATGCTTAACGGTTTAATGGATCCGTGCGTCAGGTCTTAAAGGGTCACTTCACCTCTGGAAAGATGAATGTGTATTTAAAATGGGTAATTTATGTAGAAGAAATGTCAAATTAATTTTTGAATTTGGAGCTTTCTAGACTGAGAAAAGACAAAAAAAAATATTTTTGGCTTATGTGGATTAAAGACAACAACTCCCAGAATGCACTTGCTTCGCTGCCCTAGGAGGCCACGCCTACCGGTAACAGTACTAGTGAGTCTCCATGACGAGTCTGCCTGAAAATGTGTTTCAAGATCGCCCAAAATGTCCTGGATTCGGCTTTTGCGTTCTACAGTCGCCATTCATGCCGATTTTGGCGTCATTGTAGGAGGAAGTGAAAAAGGTAAATAGCGGATTTCTCTCGTCTCAGGGGAAAATGAGAGTGTTACACGACCATTCAATAGTATAACTGGGTTTCTAACAATGGAAAGCTTAATGCAAATGGGTGGAGTGTCCTTTTAAAGTCACAGCAGCCTAATATACCTGCTGCCAAATTATGAGATAATATTAAAAATATCTATATGGCAGTCTTTCCCCATAGTATTGATGTCAAAATTGTAGCCAGAGAAAATGCTGAGAGAAAACCACAAGCCACAGTGGTTGGCGAAAAAAAAAAAAGTTAAAGCCACACTGTGTGATTTTTATCCCCATCTAGTGGTGAAAAGGTATATGACCATCCAGTGAATATTAGTTTCTGTTCCTCTCAATTCCGATTTTGTTTTAACTCCTACGGTGGCCAATGTAGTCCAAGATTAACATGGCTTCCAGTTCGACCTCGTCCATGAGTGTTAACTCAAACGTAAATGCGAAGCTTGAATTAACGGGTATGTCCCTCTTTGGCTAATGCACTTTCAAGATGGAGGGGCAACATGGCGACCGACATTAGAATGAAGACACTTGAATGAAGTAAATATACCTTAATGAGCACATATATCTTTGAAAGAACTAAGTGTTTTTAGCTAAGAATAAACTAAAAGAGTTACACAGTGTAGCTTTAATGGGAAGCCCTGTGTATATCAGATAAAATGTCTGAAAATATATCATAATATAGATTTTTGCATATACTGGCCAAATTGCATACAGAACTCCTAAAGCTTATAATGTGAATTTACCAATGAGAAAATCAAACGAAGATCTTGGCGAGCGCGTCGGCCCCAGCGCTGGCGATGAAGGGCTGCGACGGGTGGAAGGCCACGTCATGAATGGCCTCATCGTGTTTTTTCCTGTGTGCTGTGATCTCCTGCACACACGTGCGATTGTCCAGCATCCACAAGCGCACTGAGCAGTCATGACCTGAGGGAAACATAAAAACACAAGATAAAGATTGCAGAGATGACACTATGTTGGCAACTTTCACATTTCCGTGAGAACGATCTGTTGACGTGGATGTGTTTGGAAGGCTTCAAACACATCCATTGGCTTGTTGTTTTGTTCTCTGACGTCACATACTGCGTGCTCGTGTACGTTTACTTACTGCCGGAGATGAGGTAAGTGCCTTTAGGGTCTGTGGTAAGACAGGTTACAGCATCCAGGTGAGCCACCATGGAATGAATCACTTTCCCTGAAGCCACAACAAGAAGAAGGAGGACAAAAATGAGGTCATGCTTGATACTCAGGCTCAACCAATGGGATAAGATTATGTTTCAAGTAAAAACTAAAAATACTATGGAAGTCAATGGGGCCAATTGACTGTTTGGTAACCCATATTCTTCAAAATATCTTCTTTTGTGTTCAGCAGAAGAAAGAAAATTCCTACAGGTTTGGTACAACTCGAGGTTGAGTAAATGACAGAATTTTCACTATCCCTTAAAGCAAGGTTTCCCAAAATGGGATTCATAAGGGAACTGCAAGGGGTTGATGAAAAGCTAATAATGAATTAAATGATTAAAATGTAAAATCAAGTCATTTTAACACATTTTAACATTTACTTGCATTATAGAACATCAGAGTAACATTGTTAAATGATTAAAATGTTTAATAATATTTTAAAGGGGTTAGCTACACTGTAAAAAAATATTGTTGGTTTAACTTAAAAAAGTAAGTAACCTGGTTGCCTTAAAATCTTTAAGTTAACCCTCTGAGACCTAAGGGTATTTTTACAATAAATTTTCCGTCTGGTGTCATTTACTAAAAAAGCTTGTAAAATATCAACCCTTTGGTGCACAGACAATTGACACACCTCTTTTTTTCAGGACAAATTGAACTTTCAGCATATTTGTGTTACATTGATGTCACCTGAATGTAAAATAAGTTATGGGACCATAAAGACAAATGAAAAAATAAATCGGAAATGGAATCACTCAAATATTTATTGAAATCACACACAAATAAATAAAAGCTAAGCAATTTTCCTCTGGAAAATAGTTTGTTCATGTCTTTGGAGTCCTGGAGCACAGGAATAAACATTATAACTTGTACAGAACAAAAACTATTGACATTTTTCCAAAAGAAGTCCAGGCGTTTGGGGCCTCATGAAATTCACTGGTGCCAAGCCTCAAAACAGTTCCTATCAGCAATCACACAGAGGGCCATTTATTTTATTTATTCTTTTATTTATTATGTTCTTTTTATTCTTTTATAATACATTTATACTACTATAATACTTTTTTACAGTAAATAAATAAATGGCACTTCAGCTGGGTCTATCCTGGTAATCTAGTTCCTCATCTGTCAAAAAGCTCTGTTCTCCTGAAAATCCATCATCCTGCAATGCACCAAAATAGACAAGCGCTTTATTTACGTCCATTTCGCTGTGTTTCTCTGTGAATCGCGCGTCTCCGTGCGTCTCTATCTCTCTACACTATATCAGCGCTTGGTTCATGCGTAATGACGCACACCAATGTTTACAACGGATCAGCCTGTAATTGGTCAAAAACCATCACGTGAAAACATCACGTGATATCCAGAATGGCCGCTAGCGTCGAGCTAGCGGCAAAAATGACCAAATATTTATGAATTATGGACTTCAAGATTATCAAAGTTTGACATAAAGCGTTTGGATTTATTGCTGAAAACCTCTGAAAGGAAGCACAAGTTCCAGGCTGGATAGAAAACCTTCTGTAAAGGCTAGAAAGACCCGAAAGACATCCCCGTGATGGCTAGCTCGTTAGCTTTCTGCTGGAAAAAACGGTAAGAAAATCGATAAATCTGTCATCGAGTTATGTAAACATTTATCGGAGGTGACGTGTGGCGTCGTCGACGATGCCGTCGGGCTCAGGGGGTTAATACAATGAAGGAGATTAATTTAATCATCAGAAGCTCAAAATTATATGTTATCTGAACTAAATAAATTATTTAAGTTGATTTGACAAAAGAAAAAATGTTGTGATTACTACACTGTAAAAAAAAATTGTTGGTTTAACTTAAAGTAAGTAACCTGGGTTGCCTTAAAATTTTAAGTTGATTGAACTGGAAAAAGTGAGTTAACACAATGAAGGAGATTAATTTAATCATCAGAAACTCAAAAAAATAAGTTCTCAACTAAATAAATTATTATAAAGTTGATTTGACAAAAGAAAATATGTTGTGTTAACAAATCTTGAAAATATTTTTTTTTACAGTGATAGCAAAAAATAAAAAAAAATACTCTTCTCTATTCCTGCAAAAAGCAGCAGCTAAAAAAAAAACAAGAAATGTATGTAAACCTTAATTAACCATCCTGACTCATCCACAAATGTCACATTTTACTTTAAGACCATTTCCTTAGCTGACACATATCCACAAAAATCAATAAAAATGTCCTAATGTGGCAGAAAATAAAGCAACAGGTAGTCACACTGCTGGGTTCACATTCCAGCTGTCGTTTCTTCACGGGCTAATCTTTCACACCAAGAATGTTATTTACTTTTCTTAACTGCTCTTGCTATATAAACTGGCGATTAAAGGTTGGTGTCTGGCTTCGATTCGATTGAGGTATTTTTATACCGGAGGTTATTTTTTAACTGCTTTGCGAGGTCTATTATGACTGCACTGTAGGAGAGTCAGTGGCTTTGCTGATGTATTTACAGTTCCCAAAGTGCACAGCTGGAAAATAAGCAGTGGGTGCTATTATGGGCCTCAACATTGCCACAAGCTCACGACACACACACACACACACACACCTGTCTTGTTGTCCAGGTAGCGGATGGTACGATTCTCGTGGGCTGTAATGGAGACCGGTTGGGACGGATGGCTGACCACGCGGTTAATCAGCTCGCTGCCTGGAGGGGCGGTAAAGAAAAACAATATTTTATTACTGTACAACAGGCTTCGAGTCAACATGAAATTGCATTCAAAACCTATTTTACTTCTGTAATGTGATGCATGCAACTTTGATTTTCAATGTAGTTTATCATCAATTACTTAGAAATAACACCTTTTCATATATATATATATATATCGTTCTTGAAATACACCTCTGGTGCAACTCAGACACATCATCATCACGATTAATCGCATCCAAAATAAAAGTCTGTTTTTACATAATATATTTGTGTGTGCTGTATATAATTATTTTATATGCATGTATATATTTAAGAAAATGTGTTATTCGTATCTAAAATATTTATATTTATATAATATAGATTATTTATTTATATACATATACAGAATTTAAGCGCAAATAATTCTTAAATATATACATGCATGCATAGGTATTTATATATACAAAATAATTATATACAGCACACACAAATATATTATGTAAACACAGACTTTTATTTTGGATGCGATTAATCGCAATTAATTTTTGCACAGCCCTAATATATATATATATATATACACATACACAATTAATTTTAATGAAAACTAAATAATGAATAAATTGCAAACAATTTAGTAAGAATTACTTGCAATAATAGTTATACAAGGATTGTATTCATTTTCATGACCTTTTCCAAAATGGCAGTCTAGTAAATTATAATATTATAAATTAAAATGTTATGCAAAAATGTTATATAATATTATTAATATAAAAAATATATGGTAACACTGACATATTAATATTAATTAACACAGCTTGAAAGGAAGTTATTAATATTCTCAAAATCTATTAATATTATTTAATGGACCTGAGCCTACATGAACTAACAATGAATATTTTAAACTGAATATTTATTAACTGAATTGATTACAAAAAAGAAGAAACAATTAAAAAAAAAAAAGTGTGTTGTTCACTGTTAGTCAATGCATAACTATATAAAATAATGGGACCTTTTCATACAGTGTAACCCAATACATAATAATTTATAATATTTAATAACCATTTACGATAATTATTCTATGTATAATTAATAAAATTGCAAAAGATTGTAAAAATTGCTATTAAATTAATAAATAAGAATATTACAAACATTAGGGAACTCTAATACTTTGCATGACTATTAAAAAAAAAAACCTTGCTGGTAAGCATAGATTGTAAAAGTAGTGACATTTTGCTAGATGTCAAATTCCTGTATGACGCGGAGCTTACCATCCTTAGTCTGGGTCTCCAGGACCATGATGCTTTGCTCTGTGTTGAGGTCATAAAGCAGAGTCTCGCCCCCATCGAAAGACACAACAACCTGGGACGGGTCGGTGTTCACAAAGGCAACCGAGGTGGGAGTGCCGTGTTCTGAAAGACAGAGAGGGCATGAGTGAGAGGGACATACAGAAAAGAAAATCCAAACACACAAGGTCTCCTCCTCACCTTTCTCTTTGTTGAAAACAGACACACACGGTGAGGAATTATGGGGGTCCCAAATCCGCACAGTCCCATCTGCTGAGCAGGAGGCCAAACGCTTCAGGCTGGAGGAGTAAGCCAAACCCCACACTGCGTCCTCATGCCCCGACAACACACTGCTCTCCACCCCTGGATCTGAAAGCATTTACACACCACAATTCAGTCTAGCTCTGTTCAGTGTGTCTGCAAATTAATATGTAGTCGGTGCCCTCTAGTGGACTCTTGTAAAAACGCAACAGTTTTTGAGTGACACTGTGGAACTCGCAAGTGCAGTATTAGGTAGACTTGCCATAGTTGTCGTAAGGATCCACATTAAGGTCTGGAATCTTCCAGCCTCGCACGGTGCCGTCCAGACCGCCACTGTAGCATGACTCTCCCTCCTCACCCATAGCCAGAGAAAGAACAGCACCACTAAAATCACACACAAGAAACATATTAAAAAGCTATAACAAAAAAGTTCTGTGCCTGTACTACAATAAAGTGATCAGATGGTTAAACCATGGCACTCATATATATATATTGAGTGGTTCTGATAGATTTCCGGTAGCTGCCAAGACACTCCCTAGCAACCAAACAGAGTACCCTAGCAACCATTTTGCAAGAGCTATATCTCTGCATCAAAACATCGTATAGAGATGGGGGTTGGCTCTTTTTATTCATACTAGCAAACAGGACTTGCTACATGCTACACATGCTAGCGGTGAATAGCTACATGCTAATATTGATTAGCTAAGTGTTAAATCATGCCAAGAAAATGCTACTAACTCCTTAGTAACAATCTAGTAACACAATAGTAACCACCGCCCTGAACACCCTAGCAACCCCCTAGAAACTCCATAACAATCACAAAAAATACCCTAGCAACCACCCAGAATACCCTAGCAACCGGGTGGTGAGATTTGCCACTGCAAGCACCACTTCACATTTTCTTCTGGAAATGTACATTCTAGTTTACATTGTTATCTAACGTACTTCAAAGACCACTAGGTTTTATAACAGATCTTTATACTTATAGTTTAGCCTTCAAAGGTTAGTTCACCCAAAAATTAAAATTCAGTCATCATTTACTCACTCTTAGGTTGTTCCAAAGTAAGACTTTCGTTCATCTTCGAAACACAAATTAAGCCATTTTAATGAAAGCTTAGAGCTTTCTCTCGCTCCATTGACAGCTACACAACTACCACTTTGACGCAGTAGTTTAAATTTTGATATTTTTAGGTCAAACCGTTCTTGTCTGTCAGTCATATAATGGAGGTCTATGGTCACCACCTCAAAGAGCATGCACAGAGAAGTCCAAATTAAACATGATTTAATGACTCGTAAATGTAAGTACACATTGATGGCCTAAGACACGAAACGAGCGGTTTGTGTGAGAAAACTAACAGTATTTATTTCTTTTTTATCTCTTGTAACCACAGCCAAGTGATCTGAGGGCGCAGGCGCTTTGTGGCTGTGGTATCCAGAGGTAAAAACGATATAAATACTGTTCGTTTTCTCACACAAACCACTCGTTTCGTGTCTTAGGCCATCAATGTGTACTTACATTTACGAGTCATTAGATCATGTTTAATTTGGACTTCTCTGTGCATGCTCTTTGAGGTGGTGACCATAGACCTCCATTATATGACTGACAGACAAGAACGGTTTGACCTAAAAATATCAAAATTGAAAATACTGTGGAAACAAAGACACCTACATCTTGGATGCCCTTGAGGTAAGCTAAAACTTATCAAAAATTCATTTCAAAGTGAACTATCCCAAGCAAGTATGGTTGAGTTTGTTTATGTCTGCTGATCACAATGTTTAAAATGTGAACAAAAGCCTAAATTCAATCCATTTACCATATAAAGCGATTGAGAGATTTACGTACATATGGATTATTTTTACAATCTCTTTATAAACTTTTTGAAGCATCTAGTGGTAGTTGGTCAATGGAGGGACAGAAATCTCTCAGATTTCATTTAAAATATCTTCATTTGTGTTCTGAAAATGAATGAAAGTCTTACGAGTTTGGAAAGACGTGAGGGTGAGTAATTAATGACAGAATTAGAATTTTTGGGTGAACAACCCCATTAAGCATGTTAGTCAGAGGTCAAACTATTTAATTTGTAGGTGGACTTTCTCCTTTCTTGCAGTCTAATTATAAACCAGTCTCACTCACCTGTGTGCTCTGAATGTATAAATGGGCTCAACGTCTAGCGCTGCATTTCTGTGAAAGCAAAAAATGAAAGACTACCATATTAGCACACAGCAACAGCGCTAAAAGCAGCATTTATGGATCAAGATTTCTAAATATACTTCGAGACACCTACACTACCACAATTATAGTGACATACTTAACATTAGAGGGCAGTGAAATAAGGATCTTTTGGGTTGTGTGTCTTTAAGATGTGTTTCTTACTTTTTGGAGTGCATTGCCTTGTTGAGGTTCCACAGCTTGAGTGTCCCATCCTCAGAGGCGGACAGCAGCACGGCCTGGCTGGGGTGAAAGGTCAACGCTCGGATGGCGTCGAAGTGGCTTCGTAGTGTGAAGCGAGGGTTCCATGTTTTTTTGAACTCTTCTCGACTTTCCTGCAACTAAAATGAGACATGAAAATAAATGAAGAGTAATTCATACACACAACAGAAAACTATAATACTGCCAATTTTACAGAAAATATCGCAATTTAAAAAAAACACTAATCATTATCAAAAGAAAATGTCTTGTAGTTTAAATTAAATGCAATTTGCTGAACTTGAGAGTGCTTTTTGACCCAGCTTTTTTAATGCTTAAAAACACACTTGTGTGGGGAGGAGACATTACTTATAACACTAACATCAATGGTGAGGTCATTGTCGTTGGCAACAGTAAGGTCCGCCAGCTCTCCGAGGTTCATATCTCCTCCTCCAACCGCATCCAGAATGAAGACATCAGATGAGAAGCCAAGAGCGCCCCCTTGAGCACAGGCACATACACAACAGTTAACATGCTGAAATTGAAATATAAAAAATATAGCTGTTTATAGCAGAAGTTGAAATTTAAGCAACACTGAATATGGCTGTGATGAAAATGCATTTTTAATTTGCCAATTAGAACTATGCCAGTATAATAATGTTGTCTCTAGACACTAAAACATATTTTTATTTGAAAAAATAGTGACAGAGTTAGAAAGTCCAAATCATTAACAAACATTTGTGTTTCAATTCTTTTGACTAGATTGAAAAATGTTTGTGCGATATATGCATCATTAAGGTCTCACCACACATTTTCTTTTTTTAAATGCAAATAAATATTAATACTTGCTGCTAATTACTATTATACACACATATACAATTAAAATGAGTAAATCAAATAATATAATATAAAAATATAATATATAATACATTATAATATATATATATATATATATATATATATATATATATATTATAATGTATTAGATATTATATAATATAATATAATGTGGAAAAAATGTTTAAATTTAACCTTTTTTTACTTCATGCATTTAATATTTTTCTTTTTTGGCAACAATGATTGTCTGTTTGAATAATGATTATGCAGATTAAATAAATACAAAAATAAAAATTAATAATATTTAATAATAAATATTTAATGAAAATAAAATAATTCAAAAATCAACTGAGCGATATGCATTTGACATTTTAAAGAAATATTTACTTATAAGAACAGCTGTACTGATAAAGTAAAAAATGATTCAATAATAGAATATAATTATTTAAATTCATAAAAAAATTTATAATATTGGAAACAATGAATATTTGGTTGAGTAACAAATTACTCTATCCATCAATATATTTATATATATAGCATATAGATAATTTTTTTTTATTTTTATTATTTCCAAAGGTGATCGGTTTGTGATTCAGAGAGCCGGGTGGCTGTTCTTACCCTCACTGGAGCGTGCCTGGCCCGGGATAGAAGGAGGTGGAGTGGGTTTGGGAGTAAAATCTGACATAATGCCTTGCAATTTGTTTCGCCGGTTCTCTGACCCTGGGTAGAGGAAGTAAGAGAAGTAAACAAACCAGATGACAGCAGAAAAACAAAATCAACCATTCAACATGTTGAAGGGAATATCAAGGGAAACAAACAAACGTAGAGTGAAGTGAAACGTGAAGACAAAATGGTGGCCGTGTCAACAGATTTTATCAACAGGAAGTTCCAAACAAAAGCAAATTAAAAGGAAACAATGAGCGGTCACAGCATGACGATAAAGGGTAAACCTCACATCCACCATCAAAAATACAATGCAGGAATGAGTTGCCGTCTAGTAGTACATGTCTCAAATTCAATTTCCCAAAAAATGAACATATGAGAACTCTATACCTAACTCACGACCGTCTCCAGATATGCGAGCTTCTCCCGCACCTTCCCCTTCCTCTCCTGAGGCCAAGAAATCAAACTCGCCCAGGGCGTCCTCAGAATCATCTTCATCATCCTCGTCCTCAGGGTCAAAATCTGTGGTCATGGGTTCTCCGCCCATCTACAGGCATACAGACCAAACGCTATTAGCAACAAAACAGGGTCTGTGTGGGCCTTATCTTCATGTAAACACTCTGACCTTGCTCCTGGACTTCTTGTTTTTGCGTCCATCAATGCAGTCTGTAGTCATGCCCTGGAAGTCTTCTTCTTCATCACTGTCATCCTCATCGTCGTCCTCGCAGCCACGAAGGAAAGGGATTTTATCCAAGACAGAGCTGTCCATCCGTTCTTTCGAACTCTCTTTCCCAGCACGCCTGTAAGAGAGAGATTTCTATACTATTACCACAACAAACACGATTGCAGAAACTAGTTTCAAAACTGGCTTCACAAACACCATACCATATTAGAACACCCCTTATAAGTGTCTTGTGGCTTATCACTTGTATACAAAGCCAGCAAACAATATACAATGCTCAGTTAGTAGATATATTTATTATGGACAGGTAACAAGACACGTACTGGCTGCCAAGCAACACATGACAAAGTGCAGTTAAAGGAGTAGTTCACTTTTAAAAAAACTTTTGCGGAAAATTTACTCACCCCATGTCATCCAGGATGTCCATGTTTTTGATTAAGGTTTAATCAAAATTAAGGTTTTTGATGAAAACATTCCAGGATTTTCTCCATATAATGGACTTCAATGGGCACCAAAACGTTTCTGTGGTCTGTTCTGTGAAGCGCGTTCGTGACTCTCCTGTTCGAATTCGTTCATCAAAATGAACAAATCTTTCTGGTCATTTGGATCATTCAACGAACGAAATGAACAAATTGACTCGGGAAAAGATTTGTTCATTTTGATGAACGAGTTCGAACAGGAGAGTCACGAACGCGCATCACAGAACAGAGCAAGGCGACCATTTGAGCTTATAAAACTTAAACTTTGTTGTTTATTTTTTTAAAGAGCGATCGTTTCGCTTGATAAGACCCTTATTCATCATTTGGAATTGTTTAAAGCCCTTTGAACAGTTTGCACTGAAACTCTCATTTGGACCTTGAACCGTTTGGTTCCCACTGAAGTCCATTATATGGAGAAGTCCATTATTCTTTTCGACTGAAGAAAGAAAAAAAGATGGACATCTTGGATGACATGGGGTGAGTAAATTATCAGCAAAAGTTTTTTAAAGTGAAACAACTCCTTTAAGGACTACTTCACCTGTACACAAACACTAACTGGACCTTATTTTTACACGGACTTAAATATGAGATGTGAAAAATGTATGCCGTTCTAACCGTTTGATCTGCTCTTCTATCTGGCGTACTAGTAGTGATTCTCCTCCTCCGTGAGGTTCTGGATCTGCAGGCGGTTTCGTTGGGAGGAGGCCCGTTCGCCTCTGGACTATTGCGACCCAACAGGGAACGAACCCGTTTGGAGCGCATGTCCAAGATGGTGTCGGAGTATCCCACCTCCTCCAGGTACCTGCTC